AATCTCGATTGGGGAGATACTTCAAAGGAATAATTTTTTGATTTCCCCAGGAGTTTTTATAAAAAATGAGAAAACGGGAAAATAAGTACAATACTAAACAAATATTATTAAAGAAAATATATAATGCATAATATGCAATTATTACTAATATTTTATTATTTTAATTTTTTTGTAAACGATCAACGTTGTCATGGAATCGCACATTGTTGTAATTATTTTACTATAATATGCCATAAATATTGTTTACAAAGCAACATTGTTTACCGAACTCCATTTAGAATCGTCTTTCGTTAGCATTGGTTAATCGCAGTGCACAGATATACATTAAATTTCTCCTCTACCTTCCCAAATTCTCGCCTATAACAGTGGCCTACTCACGTGCGAAGTGTGTCAGTCTTTTTTCCTTTATACTATATACATTCAGGACCGCCCCATGTCAATAATAATAATATAATGACTATGAAAACATATACAATATATACACAAATGTCCGCACGCAAATGCAAATGAAAACGTTTTGGAAAAATATCCATCTGTTATAGAGTATATTTTGATAAGTAATATAATTAACCTTTCGGTATCACGTGCGGTGCAATGATTTCAAACTAAACGTTCTGTATCGATAAACGTTCTGTATCCGAAAAACAAATTTAAATCTGACAGGCATTTGACAGCACCCGTTAAATTAAAAGTCTTTGAATGTGTTACGAGTTAAAGACATAATATATACATATATATATATACAATTTAGGTGTGAACGTCGAAATTGCATTTAATAAATATTTGGAAAGAATCATTCTCGAAATCCCGCACGTGATACGACAGTGCGGGAATTCAGAGGGGAGAACGGAAGGTGGCGGTGTCTTTTAAAAGGCGGCCGAGATAAACGACAAAAACTAAGCCTAACGAAAATGAAAATAAATTAATACAAAAATAGTAATTTATGCATCGAATTGGCCAGAACGTTAGAAATCTAGAAATTAAATTTAACATAATATACGTACATTTACAGAAAATGAAATGGCCATAGAGTTATTGTACAGATCGTAGTTTTCTAGAATAAATTATATCAACATCAAATTATTAAATTTTATCGAAATTCCATAGAAGAAATGAAAAAGTTTTTTCGATTAAGTACCGCCATGAGGTGACCAAAGACTAAACAATATTAGAATACCTATTCAAGATCATATTCTATGTTTTTTTTTTCTTATCAGATTTACAAAAGCAGGAAACCATATTTATTGATATCACTTTCTGGATTTCTATAATCTAAAAATTATAAAATATTATGTCGTTAAGAAATCCGTCGTAATTTGTTTAATTCTGTCACATCGAACTATACGATCCGCGTGATCGAACTAGTGTAAGATAGATACTCATTATATAAGATTTTTTTTTTTTTCTAATAGAATAAACAAGCAAATCTATACGTTAAACCTAGTTTACCGACCTTATGCTTGCGACTTAAACCACCTATTGATTATCATAATGTGATCAAATATTATGTTTTCAATATATATGTATATATATTTTTTAAATATTATAAATGGTAAAAACATATGTGGCTTTTTCCATCACGCTTAATTTTTGGAAGTGATTATCCATTTTCTCATATTATGTGTAATACGTTAGTGTCGACAATGTGCCTTTTGGGGTTTTCCACTCGCAATCTCGAGCCCCACCCTTTTTATGCGAAAATTTCACCGTGGTTTTTATTATTTTAAGTAGTATAGAGTATACACCTACAGTACCTACATAGTATAGAATTATTACAGCACGTTATATTCGGTTACTTATTGTCGTTCAAAGAATATTTCCGTGATAGGTACAGAGGAAAATTCGACTTTACCATAGTGACGGTGCTCTGCTGTTCTTTTTTCTTTACTATTATTGTTGAACATTCCAATATGTACAGAAAATGGACCAAATAGAAGTTTCTTTTTGATAATACATATTTTATAGCTATATGGGAAAGAGCAAACATTTTTATTATTTATGGAATACGAATTTATTCATGTGGCTGCCTTGGCTGGCTTCACAGTAGCGCATCCTGTCAGCCCAATTTCCAAAACGTTGTTGATGGTTAATAATAATAAGAAAAAAAAAATACTGAAAAGTCATCTATCCTGAATAGACGCATTTTCGTCTGGCAGGCCGTGTTAATAACTAAACGTGCAACATCTGGGCCGGAACACTGCGAGTGATCGTCAAGAAGTCAACGCATTTCCAGAGAATGACAGATTAGCGTGCGGATTGTGGAGCGGTGGCCAGTGGCATGTTCAGGAATTTTCAATGGGACGGTATATAGACGAATTTTAATTATAAACAAATCGCGGAATTTTCTTCTGTTATATCTAATCCGACAAGGAGAAATTAAAATCCAGATCTAAAAATCCTATTTTTACGCAATAAATTAGCAAGCTTTTTGTGTGCCATTTTCATTTAACTAATATATATATATATATATATATATAAATATTTCAAGAAAAAATTACTGAATAAATAAATGCGCACGTAGTTGTTGTACTTTTAGGGGGATATCGCCACTAACCACCTCCTCCCTGCACACGCCACTGGCATCATCGGCCCGTTATTTTTATATGCGGGACGCAGTCTGAGAACCGCTCGTCAAAGGCATATAATGTTACGATAATATTATACACCATCATAATATACTGTAATACGCTTGCCTACATAATATTATAATGAGGGCCCAATCGTGAACTTGGCGGTTCGACAACGTTGCATATTTACGTAGCTATTTAAAACAATGAACCGTTTGTGAGTTCAATCCGGTCGGAAAAAAAAACGACGACGCCGTCCCGAGTATTCGAATCACGTCACCGTCAAGTTTTACGAGACTCGCGCGCGTTTGATGTCGTCGACTCGTGCCGTGGAATTCCGCGCGCACGTGAATATTATCAAACGACGTATGTGTGTGTGTTTGTGTGTGTAGGAGTAGTAGGACACGCCGCCTCTTGCCGTTATTCGGATTTCCCCGCGACCCTTCGGCTCCATTTGTGTGTGTGTGTGTGTTTTTTAATTTATCATCGACCCCTTTGGCGGAAATTTCGATAAAAATTCCGCCACGAAGTCTTCCGGAAAACGCTCCCTTAAAATACGTGTGTGTGTATTCTGTCTAAGCCACCCCGCGTATATAATAATAATAATAATAATAATAATAGTAATATATCCGTGTGTGCTGTTTCAGCAGCGTACAAAGCCAATGTGCTGCAACGGGGCGGGTGAAGGGTTTAAGAATTTTAATTTTCTCTCCACATCCGAAACCGGAACCCTCGGAAACAATTACGGTTTTACGTACCGGAAACGACGAGAAATTTCGAAACCGCTACCTACGCGCGCACATGTTATACTATAGATAAGTACACGGAAATAAATTCCGCACGTGACTTTGGTATATTATCATAAAAAAGCCGACTTCGACCAGAGTCTTTCGTGTACACGCGGGGGCTGCACCTGCTCCCTCCCACCCCCTTGTCTGTAGTTCTTATACTACGAATTCCAAATTAAAGAAACGCTGTTCGCCAACAACTACACTGCGGTTTATACAGATTCCTAAAGCAAACGTTTTATTAGATCGGCGTTGTGTGTTTTTGCGGCCTTTGCGGTTTTTCGAATCGTTTTTCCTTTTTTTTTTTTTTTCCTATGCTACCGCAATCCACCCGCCGACGTGCGCGATTTAGCGTTGGAAGAGATTCGGGTATTTTATCGATTGATGACGACCGTGGAGAGTTCAATATTGATAACGCTATCGATATTGACGTCGTCCCAATTATAACCGTTAAAGGTTAAATTCCAAAAGCTCCTTTTCGCGACGACTGTGCGATGCCGCGAGCCCGAAAATAATTACGAATACGATAATATTGTATTCGCCCGGCCGCCGATTATAAAACTACAGCATTACGGTTGCTCCGGACCAACGGTAATGCGATCTACGGTCGCCACCGTGTATTATAATAATTTAATATGGGTGCGCCTGTCCAACTGCACGTATTACGTGTACAGGCACGTCCCGCGGAGACGCACGTTTTCGAATCGACATAATAATATATTAAACCGCTAAGTACGGGATAATATTTTATTACACCACCGGCCGATATACCCAATATCATTACGTATCTATGAAAAAACATCCGGTGGAAAAAAAAAAAAAAAAAAACAGAAAACCCGAGAAAATATTCCTTCCACAATATGCATAAATAATATCGTGTTCGGACGCGTCCTGCGTACACATACGCGGAATCGCGTTAAAAGGATGACTGCATTCAGAAGAGATACGAGTACGTGAAATATCACAATTTAATAACGTACCCAACGAGATGTACATGTATATATTTATATGTTGTCGAATACAGAGCGTTAACGTTGCACGGGTAATATACTTGTCCTCGAGTTCGATAGTAGGTCAATTATTCGCTGACATAACATTACGGCTAAGATCCAAGACTTTGATGTTCAAAGACACGACAAACCGTTGTCAAGATTGTATAAGACTCGTTAGTGTGGCCATAACACGAAATTTAACAGATCTATTAGTTCGTCATTGATATTTAAACGATTTCGTTGTGCACGGTACGTTCAGAAAGTTCCGGGACTGTTAATTTTTCAATATCTGTACAGAACGTTATCTATAATTCACTGATGGCACTACATCGTGTAATACGCATCGTATTACGACCGTAAGAGTCTAATAGCGGTAAATTGATTCACCTGCGCCAGTTTGAAGTGGTGCACACGTTTATAATAAATATTGCGTCACAATTACGTTTACAACGGAACAAAGAGCAGCGATTAAATTTTGTTTTAAATCGAACAAAAATGCTACCCAAACATTTCGAATATTAAATCAAGTTTTCAACACGGCCCTTCTACGAAACACCAAACCGCGGAATGACAAGGCCCAGACGAAGGGTGATCAGTGAAAGTTCGCTCAACAAAATCAAAAGTGAAGACAATGTCGATTTCTTTTTTCGACTTCAGCGATTCACTGTTAATTCGTTTCTCCCGGACAAAAAGTTAATGCGGTATTTTACTAAAGTGTCCTCGACCGTCTTTTGAAACGCGTACGCCCGAGTTCGTACCAAACAAACGATTGGTTTCTGCTGCATGACAATGCTCCAGCACGTTTCTCGATATTGGTAACACGATTTTTGGCTAAAACATCCGTTATTGTTATCAACCGTCCACCTTACTCGCCAGATCTGGCCCCAACCGACTATATTCAAATTTCCTAAGCTGAAAAATGCCACGAAAGGAATGAATCTTGACGATATGGAGGCTATCCAACAAAATCTGACAAAACGATCGCAAAGCATTCCAAAAAACGATTTCTCCATAGCCTTCCAGCGTCTGTACGAGCATTAAACTATTTGCATAGAAAGGGCGGGAGATTACGTTGAAAATTAAACAAAATTGTTTGCTCTAACTCGTTTGTTGTACATTTTTTCAATCGGTCTCGGAATACACTCGTGTATGTTCTAGATTATTTGCCATGAGACTGGATTTCGAATTCCTTGTAAACGTATACGCAATTTTATTTCCATCGTTATTTTCTCACTTTTAAAACCAACGGCGGTAATTTTTCATTTCTTTCTAGATCTTGATGTTCAGCCCGATACGGTTTCCACCAGTCTCGATTTTTTCTGCACCGTGTGTCGGGAAAAATTTAAAGAAAACATATAACCGTACTACGACAATATTGTGATTTTGAGTTATAAAATACCAGTTATTTTCTGGTCGTTGAATGTAACCAATTTATGTTCGCATGTGTATTGCAATTTTCAATTTATATAATTATATTTTAGCCGTACGTTTGCATAATGTTTACCGACACATCATTTCTGTTTGAATTGTACAATGCTAGCGCGTAAATAACGTGATATAATTCTTTGTGGCCGAGACGATTTTTTTTTTTACAGACCAAAAAAAAAAAAAAAGTAACATAATGTTATTTTAATATGATTGCACGTAGAAAACCGAACGTCGTCGTCGGGGTTATAAATTAGCCGAACGCGGAAACGTAAAAATTATAAAAAAAAAAAAATTGTCCGTTTACGCGCATAAATCTCTACAGCGCTCGCGAATTATATAACCGAACATATATTATATTATTATTAAAAGTAATTTATGTCTCGCACCGCGATCGGTCGGATTTTTATAATAATAATAACGACGCGACGACGACGACGACGACGGTAATAATTTTCGAAACAAACGCACACGACCGGTACCCGCGCGCAAAGCTCACCGCGCCCGGGGTACGGTCGCGCGCGGACGGGAGGAGGGCAAAACAAATACGAGCCGACCGACGGGTCCCCGCTCCCCCATCCCCAATCCCCGGCCGCGCGTCCGCTCTACCCGTCGCGCGCGGTTTGACGTCGTGCGCCGCCGTCGTCGCACCGCCGCCGGACGGACTCCCGCGCGTTTCACGGTCCGCGGAACAATGCCGGGAAACGGGACGCTCCTCGGCGAAACACCGCCGCGCGCGAAAACCGTTTTCGCGCGCGCGTGTGCCGCGGCATACAGGGCGGGCCGGGGAAACCGCGACCCGACTATCGCGAAAGTCGGGGAGTGCGAAAAAACCGCCGACGTGCCGGTTGCGCCGCGCGACGGGCGTACCGCCGTTCCGAGAGCGCTGTTACGGATGGCCGTAGATCACATTCTAGACGCGACACGACAACCGACGGCGCACCAACAACACTATCCCTGACTATGCCCTTAACGGGAAACGGTCCCGAACGCCGTGTTGCACGAAAACAGTCCGGTCAGGCGCAGCGAGTTCACGCGGCCGGAATGTAAACACAGATATTTTGATGAGCGCGCGGCTAGACTTCAATCGCCGGTTAAGATGCTGGTAAACGGCATCTTCGTGGCGCCGATAGAGTTGGTTTGGAAAACAAATCGAGCTCTGATACTACACTCGGTGTTCGGTGAAAATGTCGAGTCGCTGCGATTAATTTTGGTTGAACTACGACAGAAAAACAAAATAGAAAATAACTGACACCGTTATTGCGTAAAATATTTTCAACGTTTTTATCAATTCTCATAAGAAAACTACAAAGCAATTACCGTCTCAATACACCAAACAGCGTTTAATTCGCTAACAGGCAACAACCGCCTATGTGAATGATAAGAGCAAGACTTTCGGTAGGAAAGTTGTTCACAGACATAAAAAAAAAAAATCGCTCGTAGTAAAAATTACTATACATAGAACATATTATACACATCTCGCCACTCTCTGAATGTAAAATGAAATTTTAAGTTTTATTGCTGAAATCAAATAATAAATTCCATTTCAGTTGCTTTCTCAATTTCGGTTTCTAAAAATAAAGTACCTACGTAGGATGACCGTTTGCACGTATCTACAAAGTTTGATCTCACGGTCGACATATTCACCCGACGATAACCCGGCTGTTTAAATGCGATTTTTTTCCTCGTGGGCCTTAAAAGCGAATCAAGCACAGCACTCGCCTAACAACAATCGCAGAGCCCGATACGAGGATTCAAAAAGAAATCGCCGCAATTCTCGTGGAAATATAGCAAAACGTCATGCGAAATTTCACGCGTATACAGTCTTAAAATGTGTAGGACAATGATTTTAGAAATCGAAATTTATTGTGTTTTGGACACTCAACGGTGTAAATATTCGTTTTTTTTTTTTTTTTATTTTCAACGATAAAATTAATTTCGTTTTTACTTTTCCTTGTCCACGGGCACCCTGTATACAGTCTGTGGTATGCGCACAGACACACATAGGAGCGGCCATACAATATGTACGGACGTTATTGTACGAATTGTATTTTCGCCTGTTCGCGTCCTACTCTCTCATTCGCTCTTTCTCTCACTCGGCCTCTCTCGTCCGTACCCGCGTACGGTTTTCACGGTTTCGCGGTTCCTCGCGGACCCTATTTCGATACCGTGCGACTGCCGCGCGTCGAGTTCCCCCGGCATAACGACTTTTGCAGTGTTCCCGCGCGTCACGAACACAACCGGCCACCACGAATTTCGGTCCCGACCCGGGTGAAAATCCACGCGTCCTTAAAACAGTGGTAAAAAAAAAGAAAAAAAAAAAACCAAAACTAAATCGATCGAACGTGCGACGAGCGTGTTTTTTTTTTCTCGTACCACGTCCCGTTTCCTGCGGAAAAAAACGCAAAAACTCGCAACGTAACGAACGCGGTCGTTTAATTATAATTATCATTCAACGCAAAACAACGGTTAGCGTTATTTCTACAGTTATGACGGTCCTATACTGTAGCAGTTGTTTTGATTTCATGACATTTTTTTTTGTTTAAAGTGTTAATAAGGCCATCACGGTCTTTTGCGCCAAGATTTTCAATCAATCCCGGTCTAATGACATTTTCTTCGACTCGTCGGTATCCGATATATTTTTCTCACCCCAACTATTTTAACCAACGGTGGCTGGGTATTTATCTTGGTCCATTTTTTTCGTTGGGTCATCTAACTGTCTTTTTTTCAATGTTGTTTATTGGTTTTCGTTCGAGTTTCACACGTCTAATAAAAAATTAAATATAATAATTCGAAAAAATTCTAAACCGACGTAGCCAGATTGTGGTTCATTTTTTTTAAACACCAGTCAATATATTAAATAACCAAAATGAAATGCTTTAGAATAAGCCTGACGTGGCACCTATACGCATGCTGTCACATGCATAATTTAACATCCATTCCTATAGTATGCGACAGGCGACCGCCGTGTGCAAAAATAACACAGAACATAAAACGTGATTTTGACAAATCCAATAAAATCTTTCGGAATAAGTTGGTGAACACGGACCCGACGGACCACAATTCACGGACACAACGCCCGAGTATTATTATAATATTAATACTTGTACACTTAGTATTTATTTTTCGTTCTACGTTGTTTTTGTTGAACACGAAAAATTATACAGGTTGTGACCATAGCGAAAAAGATACTATAGAAAATATCCGATTTTGTCCATGGCATACCTTGAAAGACTCAGAATTTCTGTCCGATTACTTTGTTTGAAACATTTATCGAAATATTCAGCAGTTCGTTCCCTACGTCCTTTATTATTATTATTATATATTTTTTTTTTTTTTTTGTTGATTTTCGGGTTATCTTGACTCCGCTCAGAATTTATTTTCCGTTTTCAATGATTGATCGTCGTACGCAGCGTATAAACCAAATTACCCCGCATAGTGCATATCCTAACTTTTCAGCCACCCTCCTTCAACAATGGCCTACCCGCGAGCTGCAGGTATCAAATGTTGTATAATGCTTATACGCATGTACGAGTGCGTTATCGTACACGTTTAAGCTGCTTATTTTGCGTGTGTTAATGTAAAGAGATAACCGATAAGTGTTCAAACAAGAATATATTATGAAATAATATATGATTACGTTAAATTACTGCGGCGGCGTACACAAATCGATTAGGAAGCACCCTTCCGTTTTAACCTCCCGCTAACGGTTTAGTAATTTGATATTTCACAGGTTTATACATATAAATATATATATATATGTGTGTGTGTGTGTGTGTCTGTAAAAAAAAAATCGTTAATTCGCCGTCATCTGTTCTAAAACATTTTAACTATTCGATGACGGGCATTTCTTCGCGTTTTACGATTTTTATATTAGATGCAAATTTAACGAATACAATATATTGAACGAAAAAATTCGCATAATTTATTTTGATTCCGATTCCAGCATAGGTGTTGTTTTGATGCATAGCTTTTTTTATTGTAGTTGGTTATATGTGAAATTCCGAGACCACAAATGAAAGACACGATATAAATATATGTAGTGTTATAAATAACGTCGAAAAAATTCCATTTACTAAAGAATTTTGGTTTTTACTTAGGCCCGTGCAGTTCTACATCGTCTAACAAACATTTGCAGAAAATAAGAACATTAATAAACACCACTCCCCCTCAAAAGAAAAAAAAAGTTAAAAAAAACAAATACAATCGCGGTGTACGCGACCGTTGCACAGTTAATGATAATAGGTACAGAGTACATGAAATGAAAACACATTGGTTGGGTTAGGCACGGTATTAACCCGTCGAAAATTCGCGTTCTACCTATTGAGGGTTGGGGGGGGGGGTAATTACCCCCTGCAGGTCGGGAACGTGGCCGACGGGAACTTCCGAAAACTTTCCGGTACGGTCGACCGCGGGAACGGCGACGACGGCCGGACGTCTTGGACAGACGGCGTGGCGCCCGTCGCTTGCCGTTTTGTTTGTGACATTTTCGGGACCGACCGTCCGGACGGGGCGGCGTTCGTGCGGTCGGCCGGTCGACCGGAGTCGGGACATGGTCCGCGGAGAACCCGGGAGCGGTCCGTAGCCG